CTGCACCCCTGTGGTGGATTACTGTTACTGCAGGGGTGGTTCCACCTGCACCCCTGTGGTGGATCACTGTTACTGCAGGGGTGGTTCCACCTGCACCCCTGTGGTGGATCACTGTTACTGCAGGGGTGGTTCCACCTGCACCCCTGTGGTGGAGTACTGTTACTGCAGGGGTGGTTCAGCCAGTGAACCACAAGGACATGGCTCATGTTTGCTCATGCTGCTGCTCTGGTCCTGTGGGTCTTGTGCAGACCCTGGATATTATAAAGGAGCAGAGAGAACAACTTGTGAGATCAACGCCAAGCACAAAACAGAGGCAGCACCAACTTAGTAGAATCAACAGTTCCCTGCCCTGAGGGTCTGACGTACAGGCTTGTACAGGAGTCTGAAGACTGGACTGTTGCACCTGTTTTTTTTTTTGCTATGGGGGGGGGGTTCTGGGGCTCTGGAGGCAGGAACGGCACACCTGGAGGTGGCTGGGATGTCAGTGAAATTTCACATTTCTGACCCCAAACCAGCCCCTGTCCTGCGAGCAGCTGTCAGCCTCTGGTCGCTGGTCTGCTGTTGCCGGGTCTAAGAATCTCGGGTCGGACCCGAAACGCCGGGCTGGACTGGGAGAGGCGTGGAGCAAGCTGTGCTCTGTCCCGGGCCGAGTGAGGGGCGAGGGGCTGGCCTGCGGAGACGCTGTACAGCAGAAATCAACAAACACAAAGTGAAGTCAATTTCTTTGTCTGTTTTCGGCAAAGTGGCACTGACATTTCAGGGTCCTGTCCTGCGGACAGCTGCAGGGTTTTCCCGTCTGAAAGAATACAAGCCTTCTGACTGATATTTCACTTTCCAGCACAAACTCCTCTGCAGGATATACTGTATACCTTACTACACATCTGACAGCACTATCATAGCATTCCATCCTGGACTGGGATCTCTGAGCTGTAGGGGCTCATCCTGGACTGGGACCCTGTCTGTGATCTCTGGGCTGTAGGGGCCCATCCTGTACTGGGACCCTGACTGGGATCTCTGTGCTGTAGGGGCTCATCCTGGACTGGGACCCTGTCTGTGATCTCTGGGCTATAGGGACTCATCCTGGACTGGGACCCTGTCTGGGATCTCTGTGCTGTAGGGACTCATCCTGGACTGGGACCCTGTCTGTGATCTCTGGGCTGTAGGGGCTCATCCTGGACTGGGACGCTGGCTGTGATCTCTGGGCTGTAGGGGCTCATCCTGGACTGGGACCCTGACTGTGATCTCTGGGCTGTAGGGGCTCATCCTGGACTGGGACCCTGACTGTGATCTCTGGGCTGTAGGGACTCATCCTGGACTGGGATCTCTGGGCTGTAGGGGCTCACCTTGGACTGGGACCCTGACTGGGATCTCTGTTTTGTAGGGACTCATCCTGGACTGGGACACTGGCTGTGATCTCCAGCCTGTAGGTAGTATGTTCAG